ATATACATTTAATGACATATATAAAAGTAATTCATATATAGTTGTAAATAGTACTTAGGCTTATTTAACTACAAGTATAAATTTATCTGTCACTTTTATAGGGCGCACAGATTACGTTTATAATTTTCATGTAATTTATTTTTTTTATTTTTAATATGACAAAGTATCCAATTATTTTTGTTAACATCTTAAAGAGATCGAGACATTGAAAATATTAATTTTCTCTAATATTCTGAATAATATTGAAATTAAAATATTATTTAATATTTAAATTAAATTATTATTTAATATTTAAATTAAATAATTAATTCATATTTTTTTATTAACTAATTTCATTTATTTATTCGAATTTTTGAATACTTTTTAAAAAAATGACTTTAAGCTGGTAAATCCTAAATATAAATATAAAAAAAAACATGTTAACAAAATATTAAACATTATACATATTTGTATCATTTTTTACTTTGCAAATAACATTTGCTTGATTATAGGGGTTTTTTTTATGAGCTTGATTAATACTTGTATATTCTTTGCACATGACATATACAAAGTTTTTTCTTCACTATAGGGTGGCAGAAAAAAAAGGTTCAACTTGATTCGTAGAATTTATTTTCCTTTATATATATATATATACATAAATTTTCATTTTATTTATATATATATATATATATATATATATTTATTTGCTTTTATTCTGTCAGAGTTGTTCGTTTTGTTTGCATTACATTCCTTGATGTTTAACCTTCTCTTATTAGTTTAAGTCCTATATTGCTATATGAAGGTTAACCCAGTTTAGGGCATAGTTTTTTCTGGGATAGGCAAAACGATAGTGGGCGGACGATATTTAGCCTCGGAAAGTCTACTATACTAGAAAGAAACACACGGAAACACGAAAAGGAAATGTTACCTCATTTCATGTTTTTATTGCTCTTGGTGTGCTCCCTTTAAAATTAATGGGGCCAGACCCCATTTTTCATTTTTACATTTCTCTGAAACAAAATAAAAAAAAAAAAAAAAAAAAAAAAAAGAATCACCAGGTTTCATTTGTCAGAAATTTTTTTTTTTGTTTGTTAAAATTGTTACATTTATTTTAATATTTCTTTAATTTTTTTTTTTTCGAAAAATATACGTAAAAACAAATGAATATTGTGTATAATCTTTTAAAATTAAACTGAATGCTTAGTGTCGAAATTTAAAAATAAAAATGAGACAAAAGAAGAAATCGATTTTCAGGGATGAAATTAATCCACCTTATATTCTAAAGGAGAAGTTGCCAAGAATGAAGAAGGGAAATAAAAGTCAACCTTTAAAATTGAACTCATTTTTAATATTCTCGTGCCGTTATCTTGATTGCACTTAATCATTATTTTTTATAAATCGTTTTTCTCTTCAAACAAAATTAATATTCCCTTGTTTTTTTTATTATTATTATTATTATTATTATTTGTAATTTTTATTATATTATAAAAATATTAGTTGCAAATAATTACAATAATATTAGTTATAAATAATAATTTTTAAATAGTACAAAATTTTATTATAAAACCAAAGTAAAAATTTGAAGTCAAGTTTGATAAATATTTTTTGAATAATTTAAAGAAAAAAATAATAATTTACATAAAATTAAACAGTCATTTTTCATTTGGGGACCATTAAAAAAAAAGTCGATAATTAAAATTTTGTAAAATTACCTCATTCGCGTTGTCGTCGTCGTCGTCGTCATCATTTATTTTACTGGTAACTTTAGATAAAGTGCGCGACCAATTTTCATCGAAGCTTTTAAGATGAATTGTCAGTGGGGACATAAAATTTCTCTCAAGTCTCAAGTTACGATCCTAGCTTACATTCATGGACTTTAATTTTTTTTTTTTTGCTTCCTGTAGAAAATCCCAATCTTAAAAGCTTAGTATTGATCGTTAGTTTTTTTTTTAACCAAAAAAGTTAAGAAAGAAGGGGAGATACTGTACAGAGTAGGTGGATTGTATATAAATTATGTAGTATTATTGTACACACTGAAAAAAAATAATTTATATTTATATATTGTTACTTGATTATTATCAAATAAATATTTATTTATGTATGAAATAATTATTATTTGAGTCAATTAAAATGATATTTGTTTTAAATACAAAAATTATTTGGTTCAAGTAAATATTTATTTGATGATAATAAGTAATCAAGTATTTGAATTAAATTATTTTTTTTTCAGTGCATGTGCGTATTATTGTAAAAAGTTGGAGTAGGATGAATTTAAATTTTTTTTCAAAATCAATTTAGAAAAATTGTAAGAATTTTTTTTTTTTTGTAAAATATTATAGGAATGGGAATGTAATAATATCGTAGTTTTTGTGGTATAAAATAATGTAAAAATATGTAAATTTTTTTCGGTTTCAATTAATTTAAAATATTTAATTTTTCATAAATTTTATTTTTTTTTAAAAAAAAAAAAACGTTTTTAGACATTATATTTAAAAGAATTATAAACTAAACTGTTAGCTGTCTCTATGAAGTTCTCAACTATAGCGAATGCACTGGTTCGTGAAATTAAATCGGGTGATGGTTACACGTTTACTGTATATTTGCATAAGCCTGAAAAAAAGAAAAATTTAGCCTTAGTTTTTGTTTATATATAGACAATTCAAAAAACAAAATAGGAAATAAAAATAAATTTATTTTATTGCATGTATAAAAAAATTTTTTTAAGAGATGTAAATAAAGTAAATTACACTGAAAAAAAATTATTTGATTCAAATAATGGGTTGATTATTAGAAAAATAATTTATTTGTATCAAATAATTGACTAAAATAAAAATTATTTGGTTCAAGTAAATATTTTTTTTTTTTTAATTGATTATTTGGATCAAATAAATTTTTTTTTCATATAGAGAGGAATGTAATTGAATCCATTGCTAATATTAGTTAGAATTATTAATTTATAGTAATAATTAGTTTATAAAATTTTGAAAAATATTAAGTAGATAGTTTTTTTCTTATTATAGATTAGATTTGTTTTTTAGTTAACAGATTTTTATCATAAAAATGAAGAAACGAATTTTTTTTTAAATTATTGAAATTTAATCTATTTTAAAATCGTTTACGTGAGGTAAAATATTTTTTCGGAAAAAAAATCACAACGAAAGAATAATTAAAAAATAACTACTTTCTTTTTGGATTTTCGCTCTTTTGCTTATTATTATACACTTTTTCACAGCATCTTTACACTTATAGAACATTTTTCTACTTCCCTGTTATATATTGGACAAATTTCAATTGACTATTATCAAATTTATTTATATATATCAAATTATTATATCAAATTATTTTGTATCAAATAAATTTATATTATAACAATGTAATAAATAATATTTTGTTATTATATAATAGTATTACATTATATAAACATTGGTGGCTTTACTGGGCAAAAGGTCAAAATTTCTCCTCTCATATTCGAAGCAATTTCTTTTTTTCAAGCATGAAAAAGGAATGGCCATTTTTTAGTTTTGCACGATATATATATATATATACAGTTTTCGACGTTTCACTGAACGTTTTCTGAGGGGAGAAGATTGATCCAACGCCAGCATTGTCCAAATTGAGTTTTCCCAAGGAGGCTAAAGTACACTTTGATATACACAAACATTGTCCTACAACCTTAACATAATACATATATATATATATAGATGCTTTCTTCACAAGCAACATTCACTTTGATGAAAGAAATCAAAAAAAAAAAAAAAATTGCACTCAATTTTTGAGATATAAATGATAATCATTTCACATCTTGAATCAAACAATTAATCATACTTTTATGTTCTTTTCGATTAATATATAAATATATCATATATAAATCAAAATAATAATAATAGCTAATGTTCAATCAAGATGAAATAATTTCTTTTTGGAATTTTTATTTGATAATAAATTTATTTCTATATTGTGATTTAATGATAAATTAATATTTCATTAATCATTTATTATGGGAACAAAAAAAAATATATATTTATGAATTTTCTTTTAGTTGAAATATTTTATTAAAAATACAGAATTATTTCTAATCTAATTTAATTTGCCTCCATCGCAGGGTTTCGTGGCCAATATTAATATTACCGTTGCTAAGGAAAATAAATTTTTAGCAACCGTTGCTAAGCAAAAAAATGGTCATTGAAACGGTTGCTATGGAAACAGTTACTATGGAAATGTTACTATGGCAACAGTTGCTATGGAAACAGTTACTATGGAAATGTTACTATGGCAACGGTTGCTATGGAAACAGTTACTATGGAAATGTTACTATGGCAACGGTTGCTATGGAAACAGTTGCTATGGTAACGGTTGCTATGGTAACGGTTGCTACGGAAACAGTTACTATGGAAATGTTACTATGGCAACGGTTGCTATGGACACAGTTGCTATGGAAACAGTTGCTATGGTAACGGTTGCTACGGAAACGGTTACTATGGAAATGTTACTATGGCAACGGTTGCTATGGACACAGTTACTATAGAAATGTTACTATGGCAACGGTTGCTATGGAAACAGTTGCTATGATAACGGTTGTCATGAAAACGGTTGCTATGGTAACAGTTACTATGGAAATGTTACTATGGCAACGGTTGCTACGGAAACAGTTACTATGGCAACGGTTACTACGGAAACAGTTGCTATGGAAACAGTTGCTATGGTAACGGTTGCTACGGAAACGGTTGCTATGGCAACCATACGAGTATACGACGGATCAACGGACTCCAAAACGAAACTATATAAGGCTTTCGGGCCTGAGCCACGAAACCCTAAAAAAAAGGAATTTTATTTTAAATTAAAATTTATAGTAATTTTTGTTTGAAATTAATTTTTTTCTTTTTTTTTTTTATTATGATTATATAGTAAAGAGTACTTTTTTTTTCGTTGAGAATGAAATATTGTAATGAATGATTTTTGCGGTACGTTGTGTATATTTTGTAATATTTTTACTATAACGAAAAATGAAACGTAATCTTTAGGCAAGGTGGATGAAAAAGCGACACAGCTGCATGCTATCGCATCGTTAAAGGTACTATTGGATGCAACAAGACCGCACAATGGAGCTGCGACATCATCAGCGGCACATTATTCGGGGACAGCATCGAAAGAGACAACACTTCAACTTCAGCAAGGTTCACAAGGAACAACTACAACAACAACAACAACAGCAGAGACCAGTGCTGGTATTCAAGAACTTCCAAATGGTGGGATAACACCGGGTATCGACGCTGGCCTCGAATCGGTAAATTAATTTTTTTCAATCATATATAATTTTCCATTTTTTTTCTCTTAGTTGAAAAAAAAAAATTTTGTTAAAATTGTTTCTTGAAAATATTTTAAAAATGTTGTTTAATAATTTAACTGTAAAATATTTTTACCATTAGAAAGAAAGATTCTCTTATATCAAGAGCAATTTTTTTTTCATGTTATTCTCTTAAAACAAAAATATTAATTTTATACAAAAACTATAATTTTTTTGAAATGTTTCAAAATGAGTAAACTTTAAATTTTCCCTCTTTGAGTAATTAGTATCCGTTTTTTAGAAATATAAAAAAAAAATAATTTTTCTGTTCATTATATTTAAAATTCGAATATAAAATGTTCTATTTTAAAAAAAGAATATTTCGGTTTTGGACACATGATAACATAAGAGATTATTAAAAAAAGAAACATTCCTCTTCATATGAGATTGTTTATTTTTTTCATTGTAAATATTGACAAAAGAACGTGAAATATTTAAAACTGCAAATTTATTTTTATTTTTCTTTTTAGAAACGTTTTTAATTCCAACGAAGTTGTGTAAGCATTAATTAAATTACAATTGAACAATAAAAAAAAAAGTTTCAATTAAAAGAGTATTAAATAATATAATTCCAAATAAAAAACAACAAATTTTCTATATATTATATATTATGAACGTTGATTAATTTTTTCATGAATAGATTTAATTTATATGATTTTTATATTTTACTAGTGCAATAAAAATCAATCATCTTTTATTATAGAGCAGATAAACCTGTTACTTTTTTTTTTTTTAAATACAGAGACATGGCTCGGATTGGTAGAGATAAAAGTTCAGTATATAAAAAAAAATTCGAGCACAATAAACTTTTGCGTCTGTCGTTTATTTATTTTATTTTGTTTTTTGCTTTTTTTTTATTATATTTCTGGTTTTATTTTCTATACATTATATGTTACGTTTATTTTCTATTTTGTTGGTTTTACGTTTATTTGAAAAATTTTAAAAAATATATTTTATTTTTTTAATAAATTAAAAAAAAAATAAGTTTTTTTTTTATTACAGATTGAAGAAAGTTTTAAAATTAATTTGATTTTTTTTTTTTTTTTGGGAGATATGAAAAGTAAGAAATTTTTTTTAAGGATAATTTATCATTCGTGGAAGATGTTTCTGGAATATTTTGAAAGCATATATATTGTGCGAGAGATTGAGAATCGGAGTAAAATCTTTTGCTCCAGTTTCGTAAAAAAAAAAAAAACTTTTTTCGCCCTCTCATCCAGTGACGGACAAAAATAGACTCTTTCTTCAATTTTTGAAAGCAGAGTATATATATATATATATAGTATGTTTGTAATTTTCAATGGTCCATTACCGCTAAGATGTTAGTCATAATTTTTAATCAAATAATCTCGAAAAACTTTATTATTCTTATTAATAATAATAATTATTATTATTAATGAAATAAAAAAAGTTTCCTTTATTAATAAAATTTAACTATATTCAAATTACTCTCTAAATCTGAATTAGTAAAAATGTTTACTAATTTAAATTAGTGACTCACTTTTTGCTTTAGAATTAGTTAAATTTTACTAATTGTTAGTAAAAGTTACTAATAATTAGTAAAATTTTACTAATTGAGAAGCAAAAAGTGAGTTACTAATTGAAATTAGTGAACATTTTTACTAATTCAGATTTAGAGAGTAGTTAAAAATTTTTATTACTTTCGAATTTTATGTTGAAATTTTTTTTTATAACAAATGAATTTAAAAAAAAAATAGAAAAATTTAGTGATTTAAAATAACAATAGCAAGAAAATTATTTATATGATAATTGTAATTAATAATAATTATTATTGTATTATATTTTAAATTTTATTTTATTTATATATATATATATATATATATATATATAAAATGGAAAAATTGTCGTACGCATGGCTTACATAGATGACGGATGCACAATGCACATGAACGAATGCGCGATTGTGTTATATAGAAAAAAAAGAGGCCGGCGATCGATAAATTTTATCTACGGCAATGGACGACACGTTTTTGCAATGGCAATTTTTCTCTTTCGTATACCTTTGGGAATCCCGGGAGAAACGACCGTGTTATTAAAATCGAATAGAAATTCAACTGAGATTTTTATTATATATACATATATATATATAGCGAATAAAGGAAATGGTAAATTAGCCATTCCTGAATATGTTCATTCGCTCGAATTTTCGATTATAACTAATATAAATTATTCCAGAAATCTCTCTCACGAATATAAATTCAATTTCCACACATACATTTAATTTTTTTCTGACCTTATTTTTGACAATTTAAAAAATAATTTACAAAAAATTTTCAATTTCCAATATAGAAATAAATAAACGACTGACAAATTTTTTATTTCTTTTTTTGTCGCAAAATTATTTCTTCCTTTCAATATAATATAAAGTTAAATTGAATTATGGAAAACAAAAATTTGCTATATTTTTTTTTTAATTAATTGAGTACAATTTTTTTCGCCCTAAATTAATAATAATTTTGTAATTTATTAATATTATATTTGTTTTTTTAAAAATGATGTGAAGAAAATAAATTTAAAGCGTGTGAGAAATTCAGTTTATAATTTAATTAATAAATTCTGAATGACTTATCATATATTTTTTTTTTTTTTTTTTTTTGGTTCATGCGAGGGTGGAAAGAAATGATTTAGAGACGTGAATTTCTTTTCTCAAATAAAATTTCGTTCTTCAACTTTCGAGTGTTCATATATTGCTAAAGTTTTTAAATGAAGAGGCGATGATAACGCATTAATCTTATATATATATGCGACTGACCGAAATTGTTGCGCGCAAAATACGAAATTTTCGTGCGATATTAGCTCCTTGGTTGCAAAATATGTTGGGATGATAGTGAGCTTTGTTCTAAATGAGCAGAAAGGCCTTTTCATTTTGAATGCCTCACATATATATATATGAATCTAGGTCATTGCTGCCTTACTGCCAGTATATCTGATGTCAGGTAGGCCGAAATTCGACTGTCTTATATAATTTTTTTTTCTTTTATTATTTAATATAAAAAGAAAAATCTAAAAAAAAAAAATTTGTCTTAAAAAAAATTAAATCATTTTGTCTGACTAAAATGAACTATTACTACTGATACAATATATACGAATTACTGTCCGCTTTTTTGTTCGTCCGACTTTAAACTGACTTTTACTACTGCCGCATTGGGATTTCCTAGTTTTACAGAAAATTGTAACAATAAAACGATATCAATTTATTTAACAAGCAAACAAATAACTATTATTATATTTTAAAATTGCTTTTGAAATTATAAGTAATAAAAAAAAGTGAATGTCATATCTGTAAAATAAAATTAGAAAATGTTAACAATGTCAACGCAGGATATAGACGAATATATATATATATATATATGTTTTATAGTTTACTGGCATATAATAAAAAAAAATCTAATTTTAAGTTCACACTATATATGTCCTTTCATGAAAAATAACGTTTATTTTTCAACTCTAAAAAGTATTCACAATGATATAATAAAACAAAACTTCAATTGGATTTTTCAAAGCTAAGCGCTTTTATGGATAAGGTTTATATAATTAATTCCTCAATTTTGAATTATAATTGAAATAAAAAGTAAGGATTAATAATTATTTACATATAATCGTATAATTATTATAAATTATATCATTCGTACCACAATAATGCTATAAAATTAAAACTTATTATTGATAATTAGTTATAAAACTTGTTTTAACTATAATTTATTTTTTTGCAGGGAGAGGAGGATGAACCTCCGGAGGCTCTCGATATGGGCTGGCCTAGCAGTCCTAAGAAAAGGCTCACATATATTCTAGTTGCACCTATTCTGATTCCTCTCTGGTTGACGTTACCAGACACGCGAACACCCAGAGGTAAAAAAAAATTATTTCCATTTTTTGGCGGGTTAAATTAGAATATAAAAAATAAAAAAATTATACTTCATTTATTTATTAATAAGTTCATGCGAACTGATTGATAAATTTGAATATATTGCTAAAATAATAAAGCGATTATATATAATATGTATATATATGTATAAGTGGAAATGTTCTTGTTTGAATGGAACTGATGGAGATAAATGAGGTTAAACGTTTTCTTGAATCGTTCCACGAATCTCCAACTTCTAACTTCATTTATTAACGATCTTCTCTTTATATAACATTATATAACCGCTCAATGAAATGTGATATTGTCCTACTAATTTCGCACTAACGAACGCGTACATCATTGATATCGTGTATATACACCACAACTCCATTTTCAATTAAAGTGCCTCCAACTCTTGTGTATATATATATATATATGAAAAGGCATTGGCTATATATGTGTTTGTGTTATTCGAGAATATACAGCTAAATATCTCTTCACTACTTCTCACCTAACAGTTACATCATTTTGTAGCATAATATACAATTATATTTCAAATATAAAAAATTCCACATTCTTTGTGAATTTACAATTTTTGTATATATTATTAAAATATATCCACCTTCAAGGTACAAAGTCATCTGCACTGAAGAAAGGGACCTTAGAAGCAAAAAAAAAATATAGGTTATGTTTTGAAATTTTTAATTGAAAATACACAAAGAGAATCAACTCTCAATAAAAATAATTGCCCAAGAAGCATGTAATATATCCTCAATATCAAGGTAATATTACACGTGAGATTCGTAATATAACGCTGTAATATTACAGTAATCTTACAGTGATCTTAAAATGTCCGCCTCAAGGTAATATTACCGGGAATATTACTGTAATATTAACGGTAATATTACAGTAATATTACAGTAATATTACAGACTGATTTGAGTTATTCATAAAGCATAAAAAACGTAAATATATTATAAGTCAATTTGGCTTGTTGGTAAAACACTGGACTCGTGTGCTTTGAGTTCGGGGTTCGATTCCCTGGATGGGTAGATTTTTTTCGTAAAGAAATGTTCCCATAATATTACTGTAATATTCTCTTGTAATATTACCTTAATATTACGGTATAATATTACTGCAATATTACTGTAATATTACCTTAATATTACGGTATAATATGACTGCAATATTACTGTAATATTACTGTAATATTAGCGCGTAATATTACAGTAACATTACCGGTAATATTACCTTGAGGCGGACATTTTAAGATCACTGTAAGATTACTGTAATATTACAACGTTATATTACGAATCTTACATGTAATATTACCTTGATATTGAGGTTATATTACGTGCTTCTTAAGTGGTATTTTAAGTCTTTATTACATTAAAAAGTATTTATAATATAAAAACTGATTTTAATTTTACAAAAGTAAAAAGAAACTTTTAATCAAGAGAAAATTAGCGAAAACATAATCTATAATTCGTTTGCCTCTAAGATCCCTTTCTTCAGAGAGCGTTACACTTGTTTTTTTTAAATCATTAGAAAAATTACTATACTAAACACGATTGATTGCGATTACCATATAAAAATATTTTTGCTAATTTATATTAGTTGATGTTACCATTTAATTAGTCAGCCTAACTATTTGATTAGTAAGGTTATTAAATAATTATTCCAACAAACTAATTAGTTAAATCAACTACTCTCTAAATCTGAATTAGTAAAAATGTTTACTAATTTAAATTAGTGACTTTTTGCTTCTGAATTAGTAAAATTTTACTAATTATTAGTAACTTTTATTAACAATTAGTAAAATTTAACTAATTCTAAAGCAAATAGTGAGTCATTAATTTAAATTAGTAAACATTTTTACTAATTCAGATTTAGAGAGTAATAAATTAGCAGCAGTATAGTTTACTAACTAACAATTTTTTCTCTCAATGTCCCAACCAAAAATTTCAATATTATACCAGAGTTGACTACTGGCGCAGTACTGGTTCAGTATTGGCTGCCGAGACTGGGTAGTCTGTACTGAACCAGTAGTGGTATTTTCCTTGTATCAATACTGTTGCAGTACCTCCCCCCCTCCCAGTACTGGAAAACCAGTACTGTGCCGATATTGAGCCAGTACTGACTAAAATAGATTTTCATTTTGATTAATACTAGTTTACCAAAAGTTCTAGAATGAATCTTTTTGTTTAAATATTTTGTTTATAAAATTTTTTCACCTTGATTTTATTTTTTAAAATTAAAATGTATTTTATTTTGCTTTTTTGTATAGGTAAAATTATTTAAACCAAAAATTTCCTGCGAGACCAATTCCAAAATATTTTGCAAGATTTTCTTATTGTTTTCAGATATGCAATAAACCAAAAAAAAAAATTTTTAACGATAATTAAATAGCTAATTGTCTAATTATATACATTATAATTATTTTATATTTTTATTTTTAATGAACTGTTTTTATATATTATAAAAACTTTGCGGTTTTAAAATAAATATATTTTTATATTTATTTTTTGATTTTTTAAAATAATAATTTGCAATATATATTATAATAACACAGAAAATTAAAAGACATTTAAAATAAGCTGCAACGCTTATTATTTTAAGTCAATTTTGCCAATTTCAATCCATTTTGATACTAAAATAAGCAAAATTGGATTAAAAAATAATAAGCGTTGCAGCTTATTTTTAATGCCTTTTAATTTTCTGTGAAAGAATAAAAATTCTTGGTGTTTTCGATTTTATATATAACAAAATATTAATTAGTTAGTTGACTATAATTTAATTAATATTTAATTTGTGTTGGGTTACTAAAATTTTCAGACACTTTTTCCTATAAGTATACCAAAAAAGTATTACCTGGAGCAGAGATAAGTTTCACTATTGCAGTTAAACTCTTATCTCTGTTACAGTTAAAGCTTTCTTTTCGTATACAATAAATTATAAAACTGCCAGTACTCAGCCAGTACTGAAATAGTAGTGGTTACCAGTACTGGTACTCTGGCAGCCAATACTGGTAAAATGTTATCACTCCAAAGTTACGCCAACTTTGGCGCCAACACTGTAAAAAGAAGGTACTAAAACAGTACCGATTTTAGGTATCAAAATAGAACCAAATAACAATTTTGTACCTAAAGTTGGTATTAAATTAAAACCTTTCGTTTTCCAGTGAATACTAGGTGCCAGTACTGCGCCAATACTTATATCAGTACTGCGCCAGTACTGCGCCATTAGTAAATTTTTGATTGGGCGATAGGTGAAATAAGCAATTATTATTAAAAGAAAAAGTTTAACTGAGAATTTTCTAATGTTAATAACTTTTTGTTTTCATAGGTAAAAAATTTTTCGCTGTAACATTCATCGGCTCGATCTTCTGGATAGCAGCGTACTCGTACCTGATGGTTTGGTGGGCGAACGTCGCCGGTGATACCGTTCAAATCCCACCGGAAGTGATGGGTCTCACGTTCCTTGCTGCCGGAACCAGCATCCCCGACCTCATTACAAGTGTCATTGTTGCACGAAAGGGTTTTGGCGACATGGCTGTATCCAGTTCCGTCGGTAGTAACATTTTCGACGTAACCGTTGGGTAAGCCTTTAGAAAATCCTCACATATAAACAATGACAAACCTTGAAATTTATCCGATCCCATAAAATACCCTCTTTTATTACATTCATATATACAATCAATTCTCGTGGGAAATATATATATTTATTTTTTTTCCCTTTCTCGTTACTGATACATTTCGATAGTGTGAGAGAGAAAGAAATATAAAATAAAAATTGTTTTTTCGTGCCAAAAAGAGATTTTAAATTCATTCTCTCATGATTTAGACTTTAAGAACATTTTTTCTTTTTTGGCAAATTCAACCAGTTTTGTTTGTCGTGGAATATAATAATAAATATTATTTAATACAAGAATTAGTTTCTCGAGTTAAATATAAAATATCTTTTAGCTTTTCGTAATTTTATGGGGTAAATTTTATTTTAAAAACCATTATAGCTATAAAAATTATCACTGAATGCGCGAGATTAAATTGAAATTTATCACACTAAAAACGAAAAGAAATTATTCGAAATTTTTTTCATAATTGTAATTTCATAGTTTTCTGAGGCTCTTAAATTGAGACAATAAACAGCATCAAAACGTTGCATTATCAACAATTTGATACATTTTATGGTCTTAATTTGATATCCTCAAAAAAACTGTGTTTCTATTAGGAATATTTGACAAATTAAATTTTAATGTTTTTTTAATAAACAAATATACAGAAAATTATAAATAATTATTTTTTCTTAATTCTTCAACTTGTGAAAATAAAAAAAAATATGTCCCTGTAATGAGAAATAATAATAAAACAGATGAAAACTAGAGAATAAACAAGATAAGCAGCTAAGAAAGGTTTCTACGTCACGCCACCATTCAAGTTTTATCTCTCAGTAGACTGAACATTTTTCCCTCGAAAACAAACTTTGAATTTATCATGTCAACTTTACACAAGTAACGGCTATTTATAATAAAGGTTCTTCCATTTAGAAATTTCTCTATACATAATATGTTATTAGTGTTTCGTCAATGTAAATGATTTTTCTTTTATTTAGTATAATTATAATAGCTTTTCATAATAATTATAATTATATGGAAAAGTTTAAAGTATATATATATATATAAAACTGGATTTATTATATAATAAATTTAATTATAAGTTTTCTAATTAATTAGGTGCGCATTATTATTCCCTCGATTATTCCGCATAAAAATCATTAGTTAAAATTTTCATTTTAAAGAATTTTATTAAAAATAATTATTTCTTGCGGACGAATTTTCATTTTTCGAATTTACATATTTAACAGAATTTCTTTTTAAACAAATTTTTTATTTAACAAAATTCTTATGTATCGAATTTTTATTAGAATTCTTAAAATGCCGAATTTTTATTTGCGTCCGAAATTGCAAATAGCCGAAAAAAAAAAAATTTGGGCGCGATATTTAAAATTCACCAATCAAAAAGTTGTCAAAAAAAATCGTGAATGGTAGATTTTAAAAATTGTGCAAAAATCTTTTTGTTTGTTCAGCCATTTACAATTTTGGACAAATAAAAATTACCTAAAAATTATGTTAATTAAAAATTCTTTAAAAAAGAAATTCTGACAAATGTATATTAATTCGATAAATGAAAATTCGTCTAAAAATTAATTACATATCTAATAAAATTGTTGAAAATAAAAATTCTAATGATTTTTATGGGATATGCGCCCCAATTAATTATTATAATCTAATTTCTTGTAATAATTAATAATTATCGTTAATTTTTCTTTATGGATTTTTTATGTATATATATATATGTTGAGAATGCTGAGTGAATTTTTTCGGGAAAGTGCCATTTGTCCTCAAATTGGAGAAAACCACTGAATTTTCAAACATTCCGCAAAACTGTCTCGCGGCAAAGACATATCACAATTTTCTCACAGACGATCGTTTCTATTGGAAAATAAATCGATTACTTCATTTTCAATTCTGAAAATACGGAAAAACGACATTCGACTTGATTCCACATCGATCGTTGTCCTTCTTCCCTTTGCGTCAGTGCCAACTGGCAAAATGCCCGACTCTCAATATATATATATATATATATATAGAGTCCTTTGTGCATATATATATATACACAAAAGGACAATATATATATCTGTACATGTTTCATGCGTACATGTTACATTTCACCTATTTGTCTTGCATTTCTAAAAAATGATAAAAAATTCAGCATTAAAATTGTTTCATAAACGATATATTTTCACTAGAGAGGAAATATTTGAAAAATAATTTTTTAATTTTTTTTTTTTTAGAATAAGTGACACAATTTATATATATATTTTTTCTATTTAACAAATTTATATATTTATTTTTTACATAGAAATAATTTTTTACATAGAAATTATTTTTTACTCTCTAAATCTGAATTAGTAAAAATATTTACTAATTTAAATTAATGACTCACTTTTTGCTTTAGAATTTGTTAAATTTTACTAATTGTTAGTAAAAGTTACTAATAATTAGTAAAATTTCACTAATTTAGAAGCAAAAAGATAGTCACTAATTCAAATTAGTAAACATTTTTACTAATTCACATTTAGAGAGTACATAGAAATTATTTTTTAAATAGAAATTATTTTTTTAAAGAAAAATTATTTTTTACATAGAAATTATTTTTTATTTAACTAATATATATTTATTTTGTAATATATATATATATGTAAAATTGACAAAAAAAAATTTATAATACTAGGGTATTTATTTTCAAGTGAAACAAATGCTTCTTTTCAAGTAAACAACATCTTTTATGCTAATGTTGAGCTGTTTAATATTAATGCTTTTCACTTTAATTATAAATTATGTTTTCGAAATGAAAGCATATTACATCACGGGGTAACAATTTTTTTTTTTACATCTCTCCTTTTCATCTCTTTTTTTTCTTTTTTTTTTGTTTTGTTGTTATTTTATTTTCACTCCACTTTCCATCACTGCTCTCTAATTAGATGTCTAAAATATAATATATATATATATATATATATGTTTGCTGAACAAAATGACTCATTCATAAAAATATAAAATTACTAATTTGTCGTGTAGAAATGACATAAATTTTTTTTTTTTTTTTGTTTTATTAACACTGATAAACAATTATGTTAAAAATAAATCATGAAAATAACTTCAAATTAGAAGAAAAAAAAATAATCGACAAATATAATTCATGAAATAATTATATAATTTCCATATTATATTAGTTTATTAGTTAATTAATTTAATTTTTGACAAATCGTTTTATATTCCTGTATTTTTGGGACGAGTAGTAAAAGAAGATTTTAGTCAGACAAAATTATTGAAATTCTAATTATTTTAATATTCAATGACAAAATTTTATTCAGATAGAATTTTCTAAACTGTATTTTGAAGATAAATAGCTAAAACAGAGTAGATAGTCAGACAAAGTTTTTAAAATAGTTTATCGTTTTGCTTTAAGTAGTAAAAGATGATAATTATCAAAACAATATTTTTCTTTATTTTTCATTACCAATAATAAATGCATTCTTATAGTAAAAAAGGTTCTTTAAAAAAAAAAAAAGGTTCATTCTTTAGTAGTAAAAGGATATTTTAGTCAGACAAAGCGATTTTAATTATTTAATTTCAGTACTAAAAAAAAAATTTTAATAATTTTTTCGAACTGAATTAAATAAATTTGTATTTGAACCAGTAATTTTTTGATTTGAAATAAATATAACTATTTAATTGATTCAAATAAAAAATTATTTGGTTCGAGTCAATATTTATTTGATATAAAAAAAAGAGTTTGGTATTGACAACCAAACGTTTGGTTGGTATTTAAGCAACCAAAATTTTTTTTTGTTGAATCAACAAAATTTTAATTGTCTCAATCAAAATTTATTTGACACAACCAAAATTAGAAAAAAAAGGATTTTTATTGTCCTAACTGAAGTTTTATTGGGACAATTAAAATTTTGTTGATTCAATAAAAAAATTTTGGTTGCACTGAAAAAAAAAATTTATTTGATTCAAATACCGGTGTATTTGGTTATTATCAAATAAATATTTACTTGAATCAAATATTTCTAATTTGAATCAAATAAATTGTATTTGCTTCAAATACTGAAATATTTTATTCAAATACTATATATTTGATTCAAATAAGAAATATTTGATTCAAATAAATATTTATTTGATAATAACCAAATACACCGGTATTTGAATCAAATAAATTTTTTTTTCAGTGTGCTTAAATACCAACCAAACGTTTGGTTGTGAATACTTTTTTTCAGTGTAATAGTCAAGTATACAAGATTATTTGAAAGTAAATAATTTTTTTTTTCAGTGATAATAACTTTTATATAATTTGTGCTAAAAAAAATTTTATTTAGCACAAATAAAATTTTAACAAGTAAAATTTATTTGAGACAAATATATCTGTTCTCTGGGTGTAAAAGAAATAAATTTTTTAAAAAAAGAACAAAAATAAAATAAATAAATTTGACCTAAAAATGATTTTACAAAATTATTTAACAAAAAAAAAATGATATTCTCACTTTTTTTTCACAGGCTTCCGATTCCATGGCTCCTCTATGGTATAATCTACGGAAAACCTGTGGAAGTGAACTCAGTGGGAATGGTTTGCAGCATAGCGATCTTATTCTGCATGCTTCTTTTCGTAATTATGAGCATCGCCTGCTTTAAATGGCGAATGAACAAAAGTCTTGGCTTCACTATGTTCCTTCTCTACTTCGTCTTCGTTGCCGTCTCACTCATGTTTGAGTACGAAATAGTCAGGTGTCCCGTTTAGGGGGTTGTGTGAACTCCATTGACAACCTGGCACAATATACCTTTCCCTTTTCCCCCACCCCTCTTACATAAAAATATATACGAATGAAAAAAAAAAAAAAAGAAAGAAAATGCGTTCTTCAAGCAGTGTACATATGTATAAACCTTGAAATACCTGAGCGAAAATAATACTCGTCTTTAAGAAGCGGCTCTATTATATCTTAGACGAAGACAGTGAGAGTATGAGAGAAAAAAAAAAAAAAAAAATTAGTTCTAGTCTTGACAATTTTTTGCGAATGAATGAATGTATATTGTGAAAAAGGAGAAAATTGAGACAAAATATGAGAGAGAGACAAAAAAAATGAAAAGGAGTTATAGTAATACTGAAATTCGCAATTTGAAGAAAACACGTAAGAGAATGAAAAAATAAAGGAAATTTTAATCTTATAATAGAGAATAAAAAATTTAGAAAGTATAAAAAAAAAATCTTTTCCTCAAAAGAAAGGGTGGAACTCTTCCAAACTTCATTTGTACCTATTTAATAAATTCTTAAGAGTCTCATATATATTAATTAAAATCTGAATCCAAGTTTGAAAATTCTCATAGTCCAAATTTTTTCATATAAACTTTGACTTTTAAATAGAGAAAGTGAGAGAAACATGGACCTAATTTTAGGAAAGTGTTAAAGTTTTACTACTTGTACAATATAGTTAGTTGATGTTATAAATTCTATTTCGTCGTTTCCATTTGAGAGTATTATAAGTAAAAGTTTTATATAAATTTGGCCTATGAGATTTCCTACTAATTTTTCATAAATATGTTGAACAATAATTATTCTGTAAAAAAAAAAAAATGTCTTGTTTGTACTATATATATATAATATGCATATAGTTTATGTAATTAGTTTTCTTCACTATGCGAAATTGGGTGAAAAAAAAAAATTATCGCTAATTTTCCGATTTAAATATTATAAAACTTCGACATTAAAAAAAAATAAATTTACGTGTCTGGAGTAATTTTTTACGCGGAATAATGTACGCGTGTAAAATCGAAATCTTATCTGTATTTATTATACAAATTTCCAAATTGCAGTAAACAAGAAATTTCAAAAAAATAAATAAATAAATAAACGAACAACGCATGCAACTGCCAGCAGAATTTGCGATCGATGATTTCAAAAAAAAAAAAAAATAATAATAATAAACGGTTAGACGCGTCAAGTAAATATTTCCATCGTGAACTGATGATTCAAAACTCTTTGCCATTCTCGTTTTATTTTTAATGATTTTTTTTTAATATATATGAACTTTATCGACGATGATTGATTTGATACTGCTTGAAATTTTCTTCTTTTATTTTTATTTTTCCTTCATTTTGTTAGTTTTTTTTTTTTTTTTTGAAAAATTTCTCACGGGAAAGGAAAGAAAAAAAATGGCTTCACACTTAAAAGAACATATTTTTTTGGGAAAAATTAATATTTCTAAGAAAAAAAAAAAAGGGAAAATAATAGTTTATTAGATAAAAATTGCTTCACAAAAGGGACCTTGAATGATAAAATAACTTTCAAGTACCTATTTCGGAAATAACTTCCAAGGGCTCAAGTTTCTTCTTTGCGTGAAGCATCAGGCAGAATCAAAAAACAATCGATATAATTCATATTGTCGACAACCCAATTTTAAGAAAACAAAAAAAAAAATATATTTCAACCTCAGATCATAGTATTTTGGACCTGAATGGTGTGTGAAAATAAAAAAAAAAAAATAAATAAATAAAAAAAAAAGCGACAACGTTCTACTTTATACGAATAAAAAAAGAAAAAAAGTACTTTTATTTATTATTATTGTTATTTTTATTATTATTATTATTATTATTATTATTATTATTATTATTATTATTATTATTATAATATCAAGTAAAAATAATTTTACAAAAAAATTATATATATATAAATGATAATGAAGATGATAATGATGATAATTATGATAATTATGATAATTATGAAGATGACATTAGAGAAATAAAAAAAAAATCCAAGGGCAGGTGCGTGCGTCGAGATGCGCGAAGAATATATATGAAATCTATACCTATATACATATTATTGTAAAACAAAATGCGTACATATTACACTCTATACACTTAATTAATTATGAAATACATATAAATCTTTGATCTAAATTTCTAACTTATATAATTATCATCTATGAGCAGTCACTTTCTCAGCGCAATTCCCTCAATCCTCTCGATGTCACGCTATGACACTATTTTAATGAAAATCGTTACTGTTAGAAAAAAATGTTACGTTACCAATAATAATATCGTTGTTATATGTACACTTATATATGAGAAAAAAAGAGAGAGAAATTTTTTATGATCAAAGAGAGAGAATGTGTGTGAGATATAGAAAAAAAAAAAACAGAATACGAACGTAAAAAAGTTCACATAATTTATAAAAATGTTTTTAAAAAAAATCATTTATTATTACAAAAGATAGTTTTAACGTGATATCGACGATATTAGGGAAAGAGAAAAGACAAATGTTATTATATATATATTAAAAAAAAACATAAAATATTGAGACAAAAAAACAATATAAAAATTATATTAAAATATTATAATATATAAACTATAATATAGTATAATTATCATAATAAATATTATTATATTATTATAATAATTATTATAATAATTATAAAATATTATATATTATATATTGGTATATTAATTATTATATTATTAATAATTAACAATAATATTTTAATACGATTTCATGTGTGAAACATATTATACACACAGATATAATACATTTCGAATTCTTCATTATAATTATTATGTATAATCGGGTTAGTCGAACGCCTAAAAGCGGCCTAGCTTTATAATAAACTCCGCAGAAGCATAAAATCAACGTATATAGCAAAAAGACCATAAAATTCAAGAAATAATTATAAATAATAATTATTAAAAAAAATTTTAACTGAAAAAAAAATTTTTCAAAGAAAATCACGTTTTGATGACACTAGTTCTGAGGTTATTATATATAATTCATATAAATTTGGAATCGAAATTTTAAAACAAATTATTCGAAAAAAAGAAGAAAACAAAAAAAATTGTTGTCCTACATCGTACCGCATTTTTATATAATACACAAATCCCTCCCAACATCTAGTTTTTTTAATTAAATCATTTTCCGGTTTTAAAAAAACTTTCTTTTTTAGAATATTGAATTTTTTTCATTATTAAAATATTTTTTAAAATCTTTCTATTTTTTTTTTTTTTTTTTTTTAATATCTGTGTCTGCCCTTTCGGAACCAACAATTCACTATTTAGAAGAAAACAAAAATTGATAAATCTTTTTTGTAAAAAATATTGAATTTTTGACTTACATAATTCAAATTTTGAATAAAAAAACTTTAAATTCTATGAGTAGAGAAATAATTATTTGAAAAATTGAAATATAATTTTTTTTTTTATCATTATAATGATAGTTTTAATTACATTATAATTTATATCGAAAAAGAAATTATTTAATTTGAACATAATTTATGAAATTTAATTTATCAAATAAATAATTATTTAAAAATACCTGAAAAAATTTTTACTTAAATCAAATAAATATTTACTTGAAGCAAATAATTTTCAACCAAATTTTATTAAAATAAAACAAAAAAATTTTTTAAAACTTTTGTTTATTGTGAAAAATTTATAAACGCATACGTTATCGATAAGTCAAAATTCAAAATTTTTTCCCGATTCTCTATTTAAAAAAAAAAAAAAAAAAAACGGCGCGGTGCAACTTTTTCTTTTACAATATTAACGGGATGGAAATTAAAGCAAAGTTTTCGATCAATGGAAAAAAAAAAGTTTGTCTTGAACACAAATTATTATGATTCTATAATAATAATAATAATTGTTAATAATAATTATTATATTATAATAATTAATAATACTAATAATTGAAACATAAACTAATTTTTTGCCTCGTTATTTAATAAAAAAATTGAAATAAAATAATTTACAAAAATTACACATTTAGGTGACAAATTCTAAATTAACAGATAGAAAAAAAAAATTTTCTCTTCTCGGACCATTGAAAGAAAAAATCTTCATTTATCGATTGTTAACATTATTTCCCGTGTGATTTGTCGATGTTTGTATACCGAAAAAAAAACAAATGGAATTGTCCTCTTGTTTTCCGTTTCAATAGCTGAAAAAAATCCTTTTTTTCCACTTGTATCCAAACGTCGAACAAAAAAAGAAAAAAAGACAAAAACTTTGCTACCGCGACTTTATTGTCGCCTTTGCACATCGCCTTTCTAAAAGAAAAAGAAAAACTCTTCGATCTTAAAATTTTACAAAGTTATAATCACAGCAGACAAAGCCTGCCTTCAGAAATGAGAAAGTTTGATGTGAAAGAATTGAATCGTATTTATACAAGGAATGCTTTTTTCTTCCTGGTACATTGTTACGAATGAATTAATATTAAAGAAAAATCGAATCGTCAAGATTAAAATGAAAGAAACGATTTTCAAAATGAAACGTTTATATAAATAAATTCAATATGTGACTGATGATGTGGTGTTGAACCTCGCGGTTTTTTGCTATCCGTTGGATCTAAAAGAACGCAAAATAGATTATATATATATATACCTATATATATATATTAAAAAAGAAAACCGGAATAGCGAGTAGAAATATCGTTTATAAGATAAATAAGCGGTAGATGAAAGATGCACAATACGATCTTCCCGAAGTATCGATCACAATTAATGAAACAAAAAACAAAAAAATGAAGAATGAATACAATGTATAAAAAAAAAGGTCAGAGATGACTTTTATTATAATATAGAAAGTAGATTTTAGAATGAGAATTTAATAAGTTGGTCCAATCGGGACTCGATCTAAATAAATTAGAATGGAGAGAGAAAATTTATCGGTCATCGAATTCTCGATTTTCCATTTAAATTCACAAAAAATGCGCTGTAAAAAAAATTTATATAATATTGTAATCAAGTTATATATATTTTTTTTTATATAAATTATTAGAAATATTTTTCTCAATTAAATTTATTAACTCAAAATTAATTGATTTACAAAGCAAATATTTTGTCGCAAAAAATTAGAAACTTTTTTAAATTAAAAATATTTTTTCTTGATGTTTAGTTTTTTTTTTTTTTTTTATTAGATAATGAAATTATTATCGTAAACAAAAATTATTTGACGAGAAATTGAAAAATAGATGAAAAACGAAAATTTGAATCGCAATTACTGTCTCCAAGTAATTTGTACTTTATATTTTAGATAAGTATTAAACGAGAGGAAGCGAGAGAGAGAGAGAGTGAGCGAAAGAGAACTTGTGGTGTCGAATTTTGAGATAAAAAAAAAATATAGTTATATAAAAAAAAAAAATAAACGTCTACATCGTTAGGTTGTTAATGTAATATAAAATATACAATTTTTAGTAGCCCGAAAACTGTTTTATATATTTCAAAGATTTAACAAAAAAAAAAAAGTACATATATATATATAAATAAATAAATATAAATTATAATGATTTTTTTGTTAGTTTGCGGTGCGGAGTATTATAAATATATAAATATAGATGTATGAAATTTGTTATACCAGTGTTTCCACGCGATATTTGAAAAAAAAAAAACATTGTCATTTTTTTATAGATGTTTCAATCACGTCTCTTACGTTATATTTATTAAAAAAAATAACGACAAAATGGAAGAGAAAAAAAAATTACACACACACATATATACACGCAATTGTCAAAGAATTTCTGCTGCAGGTTACTGTGTTGTTATTAAAAAAAAAAAAAAAAAAAAAATTTTAAACCAAAAGATCACGGGTGTTACAAATTATATGAATTACCGACTAAATATATACTTACATATATTATAAAACTAAAAAAAAATTAACGCAGAGATTCCAAAACTTTTTTTTTTTTTTTTTTTATTCATAGTCTAATTTAAAAGGAAAAAATTATTATAAATATTATTATACTTAATAAAGAAGGAAAAAAAAAATCGTCTTTTGGATATTTCAATGTGAGTCTTCCGTTCTGTCGAGCCATGCGTGTTTTAAAGAAAAATCCCTTCCATTAGAGAGAGACTCATTTCGAAAATTAAAAAAAAATCTTAGTCTTGCCGACAGTTCGGATTTATGAAAAATAAAAAATGTTCTCCGGCAACGACGACGAGGCGCAAACGCACATATCAGATAGTTAAAGAGACGTTCGAAAAAAAATAAAAAAACAAGAAATATATATATATATATATTATATAATTATTAACGGTATTATTAGAAATATAATTCATAAATTTAAGTAGGTAGATGTTAATCGATTCTAATATGATTATAAATATATATATATATATATATAATTATCGTCGTCATCGTCGTCGTCGTCATTATCATCTTAGTGTCATATTTTATATATATATATTTTGCACTATTGCGTGCTTCTCTGCGAGTAAATTCACTCAACTAATTAATTATTAATAATATGAAGAAAAAAAATTATTCATGGAAAAAAAGAAAAAGATTTAAAAAAAAATAAATAAATAATAATTGTTACTCAAAATTAGCAAATAATTAATTATAAGAATTTAGTAATGTGTTAATTACTAAATTATATAATCTAATTATATATTCTATCATGTTAATTGTTTTTAAATTATAAGAAAGTTATATTAAAATTAAAATACAAAAAAAAAAAAATTCTCTAAAAAAATCTTTCCTTGCACAAAAAAGGGAATAAATGAGTGTCTGACCAAAGAAATGACTTCAACGATTTCATTTTTTTTTTTTTTTTACCTCCATTGTATATCGAATTCATTTTTTATTTTTAAATCCAATTGTAATTATTTTTACTATATAATTTAATTTTTATTTAATTAAGGAATATAATTTTTTCGGGACAAAAATATAATTACTCGCAGATCTTGAAACCATCACTCTCGCAACTGTCTTCTCTTTCAAGTTTAAATTAAAAAATAAAAATTCAAGAAAAAAAAAAATATACGACACGATGATCGACTGTATATATTTAAGAAAAATCGGTTTAATGAAGAAAAAAAATAAAACGATGTACACTTATATGCGGTTAATAAAAAAAAAAGTAGATAAAACAAAAAACAAAAAAAAAAAACAAAAAAAGTTGCGTTAGACAGACAGGGATTACAAATTAGGCAAATAATATGTAAATAATATTAGACAATTTTTATGACCTCTTGCATCTAAAATCCTTATATATTGTAACGACGCATGCCATATTTCTATATAAATTATCAAAAATGTAATTCTACGACCTTTAAACAGTCTCTAATCGAACTCAATGAAAGTTTAGTTCAGTGAATGAAAAAAAAAACATGTATATTATAACACTAACTTCATAAATAATCAAATTCTTATTTATT